ATCATTGAAGCAGAAAATGGTGATGCCCTTCCTTGTATGCAACTTATCTTTTTAACCTTATTATTATTTTTAAATGGAACTTCAATACACAGGTATGGAATTTGAAATATGTTTAATTTCGCGGAGGTAGTTTTCTTAATGTTTATTTAGTTCTAGGGTTGAGCTGTACGTCGCATGAATTGATGCATTCTCCTTCATATGAAGATCTCATGGCGTGATTAGCACTGGAATTCAGTGTAAAGTTCTCATTTCCTATTGATTTGTTGGAAAACTTTTTATTGCTGATACATACTACAGTCTGTTCAGATATCTCATATCTAGACTTGAACAAAGAAAATGCTGAAATCCTTACTTTAGAACTGAAAGGAGTTCATCTTCCTACACCAAAATCCAAATCTTTGAGATGCCTTAGGAGGCTGATCGGCCGACACACAGACCATTGTTATTAACAGCGGTTCATCCAGTGAGGGGGACTTGCATGTCAAAATACATTACCAGAAGAGTATCATTTCTCCAAGGTCTCTCCACCATAGTTACACCAAAGTGATGCACACATGACTCACTGAAGGGTCTTACCCCTTCTTTACCTTTATCTTCTCCTAACTTTGTCGCTTTAAAACAGTAGCATTGCCATCTAAGAATATTCCTTAATATTTTCATTCCTAAACCAATTGCAGGAAGCACGGAGTAAATTCACTGGCGCCATAGAACCCGAAAATGCTTTGACTATTGATCCCTTGGATGGAAAGCTTAGTCCAGGGGGATCCGCCAAAGTTCATTTCTGAAGATCCGCTTCTTCAGCTTTTTCAGGGATGATTAATTGCAAGGTCCTTTTTACAGTTTTAGGAGATGTATATGTGTGTCGGCGCGCATGCTGCTGCGTGCATGTGTTATTGTTGTCTAAATAGTTGTTAGTTATTCAATGTCTGCCCCCGGATCCTTGGACCATCTTTGTAAGATTAGTACTTTGTAATTTACGTTAAAGATAAATCATAGAACAACTTTGAAAATCAAATCAAATCATTTGGGTCAGACTGTTTGGTTCTTGACCTTGCAGGTGTATTATTGCAAAGATGAAGTGTAATTATACCAATCACTCTTATTTAAGGTAACATTCCAAGAGGAAGATCTAGAATCTAAGCCTGCAGAAATCAAACATGCCTATGATGTGAAGCCCCAAGCTTCAACCAAATTGCCTCCTAAGATGCTCATATAAATATGTATGTGTATACTTTAAAAATATATTTATGTATGTATGTATGAATGTAATTCTTCTTTGTATTCATACCAATATAGTTTTACTTGGTACATAAATTTAGCAATAAACAGTATTGTAAAAGACTACAACAAAATCCTCTCCCTATTGATTTGAACATCCTTAATTTATGTAATGCTCTGCTGCCGTTATTATGGTTCCATGTTACTATGTAAAAATAAATGTTGCTGTGATCATTGATTGTGGCTAAAAAAATTAGTTTATCGTACGTTCTCAAATTATGTTTCAAATACAAATTGATCCTTGAACTTTAAAATTTTCTAATTGTGTCCTTAAAGAAAGGACATTATAACCACTAATATTGTCATCAGCTTGGGCTTTAAATGATGACTTAAGTTTGACGACAAGTATATGTGAACACATATAGCAAATTGTAAACATATGTGCAATTATTGTATTGTTAATTTGAATACGATGTGTTAAAAAATAATCAGACTCAAATTATAAATATACATGCAATAGGTAAATGTGTTTTAAATATACTCAGCCTTAAAATCAAACTGACATTTGATGCTTAAAACAACAAAATTAGATTGCTGAAATGACTTGATTAGTATAATGCGAGAGTCAAATTAGAATGCTTTGAAGGTTTATAAACCAATTTAAAATTAGGCTATAATCTGGGAATATTTGTACAATTAACCCAGATAGATAGAGATAGCTTGGGGAGCAAGGCAGGGACACATCCGTGCAAACTTGTATTAAATTGGTAAAATGATGGTGGTATGAAACATAAAATTTTGGTTTGTTGATGAACAAAGACGATTGGATGTCAGTCACCATATAATCAAGCCAATTTGCAGTCATAAAATTATTATCAAATTAAAACACTAATCAAATACTTTTGACTAATTTAAGCTGCTTTCACCTGTGACTTAGGTCCTTGTTTTGTATTATTAATTCACGGACTCAGATTTCTTAAATTGATATTCTCTATTGGGACGGATACAAATTTTAAAAATATTATTAAATTATATATTTAAATTTTCAAAAAACACGATTGTACTGATAATCTCTATCCGTCTTTATCTTCTACTATTTTAGTTGGAGTTAGGGACGGACATTTATGAGTGGGGAAGGGCAATATCTCCCGACTTTGATGGTACAGTTACTTTTTAAGTCATTGGTAGTTTTGAAACTATTATAATCAAGTTCTTGTCTCCCTCAAATTTTTTTGGTATAATTATTACTTAGGACACTGTCAGTTTTAAAATTAATGAAATTAAATCTTGACCTCAAATATATTCAGTTTAATTAATTTTTAAGACCCTTGAGTTTTAAAATAAAATTAAACATTTAATCTCTTAATTTTTATGTTTTAATTATTTTTAGACATTGTTTATTTTAAAATCAAATAACTTATATTTCATAGTTCTACCACAACTTCATCCCTAATTGGAGCTGAATCTCCAGTTTCAATTGATTTGCTGTCACTTTCCACTATATATAACCTAACTGGTAGCATTAGTATAAAACATTTTGCTATGTTTAATAGGCCGAGAACCCATGTTCTGTAAGGGATAAGGATCAAGTTAGCAATAAAAAAGAAGAAACTAACCTTGTGTTGCGTGTTGTCTTATACAAGATCACGGGTTCTCAATTAATTCAATTCATTAATTAGAATATTTCGTAAATTTCTGGATGACGCGGCAACGTGGCCTAATTGGCTCGTCTTTCATAAATTCAAATGGATAAGAAAGAATCAAACTGGGCCATGAATTTTGGCAACAACCTTAATCAACCCCTTCCTTCAATTATTATTTACGTTGTGTAAATTGAAAGATTAGTTTAAAATTGAGATTAAGGAATTTGGATTACTGGCTGACTTTACTTTTGTTTTTATTGAAACGGGGTTTGTCTCAGAGGAGGGGGCAGGGAGTCTGGCAAGTGGTATAATACTATAATGTGATGGTCCTCTTCTGATTCTCTTCAAGATTTTCCCACCCATCCTATCTAATTTTTCTGCTCCGCATCTCACATACAAACAAACAATCAACTCATTCTTTTATGGGTAAATTTCATTCTCAATCACTAATTTAATTCCACTTTAAAACTCACCACTTATTACTACTTTCCTTCGAAATCAACTCTTATACATAACATGGCTACATTGTTTTCAGTCTCATAGATAAATTAAATTTATTGTTTTTATAGTTATATTTGAAGGTTTTATTAATTTTAAATATATTTATACACATTCAAGCTTAATGTATTTTATCGAACAAATAGAAGAAAATGAAAATAAAAGAAAAAGTAATTTACATATTTAATCATTCACGTATTTTCATGATTTTATTTTAATCATTTAACTATTTTTCTTTAAAATTATATGTAATATATTTTAATTTTATTCTAATTATTTACTGTTAAAAGTTAACTGTGATATTAATATATCATCGTACCGTCAAATATTAATATAGGAAGGAAATTGCAGGCTTTTAGCGCATCGTGCGTGAGCACGGAGCAGGCGATGTGGATCAAACCTGTCCACAACGTGAGCAAAAAAAGGATTCAGAACAACTATCGAATAACTCCCAAATTTAATTAAATTATCTTTAAAAACATTGTATTTTTCTATTAATATATATTAATATGTAAAAAAAGAAAAAGACAAGTGGCATGAAAACAATCACATGTCTTCTCTTTTTGTCTATCCATTTATTAATAATAGAGCAATATTATTAATACTTTATTTGTGCATCACCCACTAATCATTGCCGAGAATAAAAACAAATAGCATTAGCCCCACATAAAAAACAAAAGCGGATGAAATTTTAGTTTAATGGCAAGATTGGCATTTAAGAATTTTGAGATTTTAAATTCAAGTTTAACTATATAAATTATTTTAATGTTTATTATGATTTAAATTAGAGTAGACGTGAATGTTATTCAAATATATTTTAATTTGAGTTTATATATGATTAATGTGAATTTATAATACAAAATTAATTTGATAGTTGTTGTAGGAATTAAACATAAATATAATAAAATTGGGAAATTAAGTTGTCCAGACAATCAAGAGGAAAAGGCCTTCCTGGTTTGTTATTCATGATTTCAGAGGAATATGATGCTTAACTAAAGTAGGTAAGATAAGTGTTTGGACTATAGAGGTAAGCTAAAGAAAGATGTTGAATCATCGGAGTAGTCTTTTAATTAAAAGATAAGTTGTTTTTATTATAGATTTTGAGTTCAAACAATATTTACAGTTATATGTGTGCGTTAATAATACTTAAGAAAGATAAAACCAATGATTTTGAAATAAAAATTAACTAAATGACTAAAACAAAATTAAAATACATGTAAGTTACCATTTTATTTATTAGTTCATTGCTAGTTATTCGTATAAAATTTTAATTTGTAAAAGATAATATATATCCTGTAGGATTTGAGATTTTCATTATTTACTTATTTTTAAAATTAAATTAATTAGAATTTCATTTTCCTGTTTTTGAAAGTGTTTAACTTTAAATTAAAAATAAATAAAAGTACATATAAAATGTGTGAAAAAAATAAATTATAATAAAAAAGGGAGAGAGACAGCACAGCACAGAACCTGGAACCCGCGTGTGTGTGTGTGTTTTTTGTTGGTGGGAGGGGTTGAATCGCTTTTATAAAGTCATTTCAAGCCCCTCTTTCTATTTCACAAACTCAAATCCAAGTCAATTACACAAACATATATCATTCAAGAACTAGAACGTGGACGTGGACGTGGACGTGGTGTTTCTTTTTCCTCTCATTTCATTTCTTCTCCACTTCTTTCTGCAATTATTCCCAACTTTCCATGGCTTCCTTCATACCAAACCTCGAACTCGCCCCCGACACATGTCCCGAGTTCAAACGGCGGAAACGAAGGATAACAGACGAAAAGCTTGCATATTCTCATTATCATCAACGTCACCAAAGAATTAAGCGATGGCGAACGCAACGCGAGCAACACATCTACTCTTCCAAGTTCATCCAGGCACTCCGCCGTTCTCGGCTCACCTCAACTTCCTCCTCCGCCTCCGAGGAAGTCCACGAGACGGCGGACAGAGTACTCGCCTCTTTGGCCAAGGGAACCACGCGTTGGGGCAGAGCGATCCTCAGCGCTCGCAAGATGGTCAGACATAAGAAAGCCAAGGTCGCCGCCAATACGAGGTTGAGGAAGCCGGCGGTTAACAGGGAGAAGAGAAAAACGCCTTCCGTTCAGAGGAAGTTGAAGGTTTTGGGACGTCTCGTTCCCGGTTGCCGGAAACTATCATTCTCGAACCTCCTAGAAGAAACTAGCGATTACATAGCGGCCCTCGAGATGCAAGTTCGAGCCATGACGGCTATCACCGAATTTATCGCCGGCGGTGGACGGCAGCCGCCGGCTGACCGGCTTGCTTCTAATGTCAACTCTTGAAAAGATGTTCATTATGATTATTATTATTTTTGGAAACTGTTTTGGGTGAGATTCTTAAATTCCTGTATTTTATTGTGTATACATGATTTTTCCCCCTTCTTTTTAACTCCACTTGATGTTTATTTCATTTTATTTATTATTATTTTTTGGTTTGTTAAGAGAAGCAAAAATCATTCATTTAATTGATTAATCATAAAATAGAACATACCAGTGCCAGCTAATTCTTGGTTTTAGTCGAATAATTGAAGCTGATAACACCCCCCCCCCCACACCTCTACAACCCTAACTAATCACTTCTTTGGCCCTCATGTTGTTGGTTTAATTCTTTGGAGTGGAACCAAAGGAACATCAAAATTTGTCGGCAAAAGGGTCGGACCAATAATCTAGTTTGCCACAAATACTTGTCACATGGATGCCAAGTTATGGGAGAGATTTGCAAGATATAAACCCTAATAAAAAAATTAAAATTTAATTTCGTCGTTGATTTTCTTTTAATCATTAATAATATATATTTCATATATGTAATTGTTTAAATTTAAATTTTTTTAAAAAAATAATTTTTTTTATACCACGCTATAACTTTCGGTGGTTGATAAATTGAATACATGTAATTCCTTTTATTTTCATATTGCAATGTATTTGTGTGAATATGTATATAGGATCAGTGTTTTTATGAGCAAAGTATCCTCACAACATGTGCCCTTGATTAAGTGGAGTTTTTACCGAAATATAACTTTTACACGTAATAATTATATATTAAGCATCATTTCTTCAAATATTTTTGTTCTATCACCTTTTTTATATGATGGTAATAAAGTGTAGTTCGTCATCTCTGTCTTTGCGAGCTATGCCCGAACTGGCATCACGTAAGGGGAAGGCGCAGATAACTATCAACACCTTCAAGGGTTCTGACATGTATGAAAGGCGCGGATCATTATACACATTGAATTATTGGTACTTCATTATTATCCGAGCATGAAAACTCGGTTTTTAAACACTCATATCCCTTATAAATAACAACTCCTTGGGATGCAAACATCACCACACTAAAATTAATTGTTTATTCTTACCTCTATCAATTCCTTCTATCAAGCTAAGTATATTTTGTTATTATTTTTATAAAGTAAAATTATTTTTGATTATATTATATTTATTTATTTGAACAAATTTTATTGTACTAATTATTTTATATTATTTTTTGCGATTGTAAAATTGGAAAGCGGGATTATACCTCGAGACATTTTGCCGATACAGTAACAATATGAAATTGTGTTGTTTAAATTATTGTGATTTTTTTTAATTTTTTGGATTAATTTATATTTTAATTCATATATTATTTATTTAATTATGCGTATTCCAGATATAAGACTATCTTTCAAAGTCTCAAAATGACGCGTATTTTAGTAATTGTTTACTATGATAAAGAAATTCGAGAATATGAAACGACGTTGTCTTCACATCAAATCATTGTCAGAATATCCTTCAAGAAAAACATTACTCTTGAGGAGTTGATCACTAAAATTTTAAGGAAATACTAAAATTTCATGTTGAAATTACTAGAAGATTGTCCTCACTCTAGTTCAGATTTCCAACTGTGGTATTTTCGTTATCTTATACAGCGTTCGAACTCTCCAACGATGACGATTCTCAGAATCAATATTCAGACGCCGATACACATATTTATGCGGTATTTTTTTCAAGTGTCTACGGTTCGTGGTATATCATTATGCTCCTACTATGAGCTAACTCAACAAGCTGATCAAGTTGACAGCCCAACTCAAGTAATGTGTAATGATTTTAACTCGTTAATAGAAAATTCACATCATGGTGCAATCTCATCAAGTTTAATAGGTATACATTCATCAACAACTTTTTACGTTATGTACCGAGGTGACTCTACAAACAATTCGTATGGCAACGTCGCTTCCAGTTGATGTTTATTTCATTTTATTTATTATTATTATTTTGTTTGTTAAGCGAAGCAAAACACCATTCATTTAATTGATTAATCATAAAATAGAACATACCAGTGCCAGCTAATTCTTGGTTTTAGTGGAATAATTGAAGCTGATAACCCCCTTCCCCCCTACAAGCCTAACTAATCACTTCTTTGGCCCTCATTTTGGTTTAATTCTTTGGAGTGGAACCAAAGGAACAACAAAATTTGTCGGCAAAAGGGTCGGGCCAATAATCTAGTTTGCCACAGAGATTTGTCACATGGGTGCAAGTTTTGGGAGAGATTTGCAAGATACAATCCCTAATTAAAAAAATAAAATTTAATTTCGTTGTTGATTTCCTTTTAATTTGATAATATATATTTAATAGACAAAATTATTTAAATTTAAATTAAAAAAAACAAAAATTTTGATATCACGCAATAACTTTTGGTGGTTGATAAATTGAATGCATGCAATTCCTTTTATTTTCATATTGCAATGTATTTGTATGGATATGTATATAGGATCAGTGTTTTTATGAGCAAAAATCCTCACAACATGTGACCTTGATTAAGTGGCTCTTGTATCGAAATATCACCCCCTATACTTAATAATTACATGTTAGGTATTATTTTTCTAAATATTATTGATCTATCATTTTTTTGACACGATAATAATAAAGTGCGGTTTGTCATCCACATCTTACGAATTTTGCCCGAGTTGTCATCACGTAAGGAGAAGACACAAATAATAATTCGCGTCTTCGAATATCCTGACATGTACGAAAAGTGCGAATCATACTAATGTAAATCCAATGTGTTAGACACACATTACATATATTTATTCTTTTTAGACAATTTATTTACTTTTTTATATTCTTGATCCCTTTTTATTCCTTTCAATATAACTCAAACCTTTAAAATTTTGATTAGTTTCTATCCCATCAACAAAAGATCTTATTTACCATAAATATTTTATGAAAAACGTATTTAACATAGCACATCTTTTTAAAAAATATACCAATTCGATAATTAGATAACAATAAGTATTGCTTGAAAATTATATTTTTTTAGATGATTAAGTAAAGAAACCTTACTATTACTATTATTATCTCATAAATAGAGCAAGGAAAGTTCTACAATGTAACACCTTTAATATACAGTTAAAAAAAGACGTTATCGGTTTTATTATTATTATTTAAATTATAAAATCGATAAAAATTATTATTTTTACCTAAAACATCAATATTTTTTAACATTTTCAGTAAAGTACCTAACAATAGCAAAACCGATATAAAAATAAAAACGCCCAATAATAATAAAATTGATAAAAATAATAATATTTTTAGTAATTTTTTTTAATTTTATTATTTAAATAAAAAATAATAATAACACTTTTTTTAATCATATATTAAGACTTATTCACGTTATCATTTACCAAAGAGCAAATGAATACTCAAAGGAGAGGAATCTCCTTTTTCACGTTTAAGGGCTAACACGTGTGGTAACATGCAAGCCAAGCTATCTGATTTTGGGATTGGGACATGTGGGATGCTGGTCATGAGAAGTTTAGAGGAAGCCCCATTTTGCAATTTTTGTAATATGTTATTATCAATCAAAGGACCACATGGCCTTGTTCTTTTGTGGAGTGTTTTTTTTTTGTATATTTATATATTAAGAGTTATTAAAACATAATATTTATTTATAATTTTTATTATAAATATAACTATTTAAATTTACGAAAATTAATATTATCTTTAATCACGAAAACTACGTGATAGTTCGTTTTTGTATATTTCTTAATTCAACCATTCATATTATTTATTAATATTTTTTTATGTTTTTTCCTTCCGTGTATTGCCCAATTCAGCATATTTTCACATGCAGCCATGTGACTTCATTAAACAAAAACAATGTGAAAGCAACCAAACAAAAAACATGCCACAACCTACTTTTTCTTCTCCAACTAACACGTGTCTCTTTTGCAATTACCTCAAGTAATCGGCGCCCGTGTTTTGAATCAGTATCATCCCTTTTATCCCTCCATAATTAAACCTAAAGAGAAATATTCATTTTAAAATAAATGGTAAACTACGTCAATGGTCATTAATGTTTGAATTATTAATTATTTTCACTATTGATGTTTTAAAAATTATAAATCAATCACTAATTTTATCGCTTCTTACACATTTATGACTCCTCTTCAATCACTTCTCTCTTTATTTTCAAGCATACGATAAATCAGGGGCGGCTGTACAAAGCCCCTTGAGGTCAAGTGTATCCCTATTATTTAGGAATTAAAGTGAAATTTAATATAATATGTTAAAAAAATAGAAGAATTTTTTTTATACCCCTATTATTTTTAAGAAAAAAATTAAAATTTTAAATTTTATTTATAAATTTATAGATCCATCACTACATAAACCCCAAAAAAGTCACCCCATTCTCATTCTCTTTAAGGCCATGTTTTGCATTCAAATGTGATTCATCCACTTTCCCATAAGAACAAGAAAAATGTTACCTTCATAACTTGTGATTCATCCAATTTCTCCAGAAGAACAACAAACCCCAAATGTGATTCATCCATTTTCCTTAGAAAAACAACAAAGTTCCAAATTTTAAACAAAGCAAGAGACTGCTTAGTTCAACAGACCAAAAACCGAACTAAACATGGAAACTTAACTCTAATCGGAACCCTTTTTACAGAAAAAGATTAAAGGTCGAGAAATGAAGGGAAAGGTGCTGCTCTCTTATATCCTTCAACGCTCTCTCAGCATGTCTCAGGTCGTAGAAATGGACGGTCACGGTCCCTTCTCGGACCCTTTCCATCTGAACCCCGCGTACTTCCCCGAAAACTTCCAATTCTTTCCGCACCTCCGTCTCGCTCACATCGCATGGAACCAATGTCAACACCAACTTGATAAAAAGGAGCTGAGAAAAAGTTTATCTTTTACGAGTTCAGCTTAGAAAACATTTTCTTCGTCTGCAATAGTGTCGTTTTCCATCTCCAAGAACACAATAAATTTCTCCAGGAAACCAAAAAAGGTTGCTAAAAATGTCGTGGATTCCCAAAATGCCACCTCATGGGAAAGATGTTTGTATTTTTTACAGGGAAGACCCTACCAACTTGATAAAAAGGAGCTGAGAAAAAGTTTATCTTTACGAGTCAGCTTAGAAAAACATTTTCTTCGTCTGCAATAGTCGTTTCCCATCTCCAAGAACACAATAAATTTCTCCAGGAAACCAAAAAAGGTTGCTAAAAATGTCGTGGATTCCCAAAATGCCACCTCATGGGAAAGATGTTTGTATTTTTTACAGGGAAGACCCTTAGTTTTCTGGTGTATTTGATAATGATCCTCCTTGTGATTTCGAGGTGATAAGAATGTGAAACTTTTAACCTAAACTCAGTTTTAAAAAAAAATAAGAAGAGAAGAAGAAGAAAGGTCAAAGGGCTAGTCAAACGTACTGAGTCAGCGGGTGTCAAGTCAGTATTATGTGACGGTAAATTTCTAGCGATTATTTTATAACAAACGACAATGTTAGTGATCGATTTGTACCTTTTTAAACATCAATAGTGAAAACGATAATTAACCTAAACATTAGTGACCATTGACGTAGTTTGCCCTAAAATAAATATTTTGATAAAAACAAATATTTAAATTTTTATCAAAAATAAATATTTGATTATTTTAAAATTAATTTATTATATCTATTAAAAATATTAATATTAATATTAATACTAATACTAATATTAATATATCCTCTTTTCGATGAGAGTATTAATATATCCTCGAATGTCATTTTTGGGGGCAATTTAATTTTCGTCAAGAAGATGTTCAGATAGATCACTTTGTTTATCAAAACTATTAAGAAATACTTACTTATCTGGTATAGGTGTATAACAACCTTCTATATTACCTACAATGTATAAATAAGATATCTGACTGATCAATGTGATCTAATATAATGAAATTAAAATATCTAACAATCAAATTTATTTAACATGTTAACCTACAAATAGTCATAGTTACTCTATAACATCGATCAAGGATCAGCTATTCACCGACTGCAGCTATATGTCCGAACCAAAATCATAAATATTAATAGAATGATATGTACAAACAGAATCGTTATTTTTTGTATTCAAAATACTCAAACCGGTAAACTAAATGAACATGCATGGATTGAAAACTACGGGTCTTTGCAAAACAAGATGATGTCTTGTCAGTCCATTCTGCTTATACTTGAGGAATTGATGGATCGGGATTTCTCCAACATTACCTTTATTCAGGTGATTATAAATTCACTACATTTTGGGATACACTCAATGGAGCCCTTAATCTTCCCGCTTTTCTCCTTTTGCTACCTCACAATTGTTTCAACTTCTCCAAGGAGATCACGTTAGCTTAATATGTTTAGGTTTTGCTCTCTTTCTTTCCCCTTTTATTTTGGGGTTTGCTTGAAGGTGGTGTTGATTTTGTGGTGGCTGTACATGACGCTGACCCAACTTGCATTGCATGAGACAGGTGAGAGAGCCTGAGCCAGGCCCCCTCTTTTTTGGAACCATATTTATTATTTATATTTTAATTTATTATTTGACTTCTTGTTCTTATGTCTAAAACTGTTTTATTGATTGTGTATCAGAAAAGAACATTTTGTAGGTTGTTTAAAAAACTATTGAAAAATATAAAAAATTATAAAAAAACATTTAAATATATTAAAATTTGAATTTTTTAAGAAATGTGACCGTGCCCATCAATATGAATACAAGCGTGTGCGTGTAGATATTGGATGGATGGAGCTACAAAAGAAAACAAAGGAAGGAACAAAGGGCAGAAGGTGGTCAGGTGGCGGGGCAAAAGAAATTTCATCATCTCGAGTAGTTGTTATCTTTTCCCTTGTTAAAAGTTTTGTGACACGTATGTCCTTCCAACGTGGCATGCCACATTTCACTATCTTTAGTGGTGCCCTGATGGTGACGTTGTGTATGTGTAGTTGTGCCAGGTGTCCTTCTCCCATTGCATTATTCTGCAAATGAATGACTATGGTTGTGCATACGACAACTGCCGATCCCACCCTCATTTTTTCTCTTACAACTATTTCTTGTCATTACCCACACAGCTTATATTTATACTAGGGGTTAATAGAGTTAAATGCACCACAAATCCCACAAACTTCGACTCTCATTATGAATTGATCTCCAAATTTTTAAACATTCAAAATTATTCCTTAAGCTACGATCCTCATTTTAAATTGGTTTCCAAACCTTTAAACATTCCAATGACGTCACCAAAAATATTCAAAAGTTTGGGGACCAATATAGAATGATGGTCATATTTTGGGGATGAATTTTGAATTTTCAAAAGTATGAGGACTAACTTAGAATGAGAGTAATCTTTTGGGATGAAATTAAAATATTAAAAAGTTTAGAGACCAAATTAAAATAAGAATCATAGATTGAGGATGTATGTGTACTACAATTATCTCGGTTAAATATACCAAATGCCTCTAAATTATTATCCTTATTTTAAATTAGTTTTTAAACTTCAAAACTTTTTAATTAAATTCTTAAATTATTAATGTTTAAAACAAATAGATCAAATTCTAAATATGTCACAACTTAGGTTTAATTATGTCATTATTAAAATCTAAAGTTTTACTTACATATACAATTGTACGGGCACAAATTAAGATGGTATTTAACACCTAATCTAATGTCCAGATTGTTGAAAGAATATGAAGGATACAATCAGGGACAGAGCAAAATTTTATGTTCGTGAGCAAATTTTTAAAATTTTAAGGGAGGATAAACTTGTAAAAATTGGCAAGGGGCAAAATTATATTTTCTATTGAAAATATTTATAGAAAAAAAATCTAAAATATATAATAATTTTAAATTTTCAAGCAACTCCCCATGATCAATCCCTGGATACAATAACGATACTTTGAAGACACAAATAAAATGCTTTGAAGTTTGAGACTAATTTAACTTAGTTTAAAGACTTTTGATGCAATTAACCCGAATTGCTTCATTGGTTTGGGTTAACAAGCTTCAAAGTTGAAACATGGAATTCCTTGTCTCTTTACCTCAGGATCACTCCAAAATTCAATCTAAATTAGTCGGTTGGTAAATCAAATATCAATAATCAATTAAAAAAGTTTAACAAACAAAGATGGAGGGAGCAATAAAGGAGGAAACAAGACATCACTTTTGAGTTGTCAAAGGGGCCAACAGCCATAAGGATTAGGGGAGGGAGGACCCAACAAAGGGGGGTTGGGGGACCTAGAAAAAAAGGTAGGAAGGAAGAGGACAAAATGTATGTCAAACAAACAAGAGAGGGAAGCGTGGGCTCCTTGGCCGTTTGGGCACATGTAGAGTTAAAAGGGGGCGGTGCTGTGTTATTGCTGCACTATAAATGAAAGTCGTGGCCTCATTCTCAGGCACGCAACCATTGTCCTAATTACGACTCCTTTATTTTGTGACAAAACAAAGTTCTGACTCACGTTTCAACATCTGATAAGCATCTGCTGGGGACATCTTCCCACACGTGGATGGATCCTTGGTGGCTTCGACTGTGACCCTTCATCTTTTGTAAAGGCCATAGGAGCTGCACATGGAAAAACATGCACAAATCCCATATTGAAACAAAAGTGACCAAAATGTAACTTTTTTAAAAAACAGTGACCAAAATAAGACCGACCAAAAACAAATGGGATCACTAGTGTAGTTTACCCTTTTTATTGTTGAGGCATCCTTACTGCAACTGGTGGAGAATTACAGTAAGTACTTATAACTAGTTATGGAAGAATAGACTTTTTTTTGGGCAATGGGATACACAAGGTCCTGGATATCGATGAAGTTCTCAAATGACTGTCAGACTGTATATGATTAGTTTCTCCGGGGGCAGTTTGTACTATTACCAACGGTCAACATTTCTTGAGAAACTAGAGTTGCAAACTGCAATTGCATACTCATAAATTTGATTAGAATGTCGACTCTCAGTACTCGTTCTCGAGGCAGAAAATAAAAGAAAGGGCTCTAGCAGCAACATCTTTTTATAGCCCCCAAAGAACTAGACTGATAAACTAGGCCTTGGATGGTTCAGCCCTCGGCCTCCACAAACCCAACCTATATTTGTGTGTATATTTCAGTATCAGCTTTCTCTGCAGGACCGACACAAAAAACCATGAGTAGCTAACTCAATCCCAGTAGAAATGAAATGGCAGTTCTACAAATATATGTACTTAAATAGAAAAGCTTTTTACACCCTAAAAAAACAAAACACTTTCATAGGATAACGAGAGCGCATAGGCATCACAGATAAAACTACCACAATACAGCAAAATCTCACTCAACTCAGCTGACATTCTACTCTTTATAACAATCAGATAATTAGTAATCTTAGTTGATGGATCTAACCCATTAGGTTGATGATAAATCAGTATATTGCATGCTATATAGCTAATGCAAGAAGCTTCTTGTCTACAACACATTAAAAAGTGCAGAATTATCTGTGCTCATGCCAACGTCCTTTGAGAAACATGAGAATACACTTTCAGGCTTTGCTTGCTATAAACAACAGAAAACATTGGGAGCGGAAAATTTGTTAATCTAATGGTTAAGCTACAAAGTAAGAAAGTGGTCATGAATCTTAAACATTTGATTAAAAAATTTCACATCCTCATTCATTTCCTTCCTTCATACCAAGCAAAGCCTAAATTATGGCTGCTAAAACCATTCTATTCTATCCTGTTCTTTCAAACTATTTGTAACCTCCCATATTTGTAAACTTAAGCTTTGGAAGATCCTAAGTGGCAAGGTCTAATGAACTACTAAAACTAATTTAAACAAATAATAAACACACAGCTTTAGACTAAGGCCATAAAAGAACAGAATAGTAATAGTTCAGTCAGCTGCAATTCCAGTTTGATAAACGACATGCTAGGAGTTTATATCGTAAACTAGGGGCAGCATAGTGGGAGCATTAAAAAAGTAGTATACACAAATACTATCAACAATGCTGCATAACTAGATAATCAAAACTGCACAAATGCATGCAGTTGCTCAACATAGGCATGCATATTAAACAAAATTTGTGTTCCAGAGTGCGAGTCGGGAATCATTACATGTTTGCAAGGAATTCCAAGTTTCTTGAGCTTAAGAGTGCGGGCGACGAGCAGTTTCTGAAAGTCACCAATCTCGGACTCCAGCTTTGCTACATGAGTTTCAACCCCATTCCCTACTCCATTCAGAAATTCTGGTATTCCAACCTTTTCTGCAACAATAACAAGGTCACTTATCAAATTCAATTTTCATCATTTCAAGGTTAGAATTATCAAAATGATTATAATTGCTTTTGGGAAAATAAATTCTCCTTGTGATACTAACTTAGCTTGTAGACATGAAAAAGGACAACATCATGTTAAAGTCTATGTAGCTATTCTAAAAGATATTTCTCAAGAATCCTAATAATCTAAAAAATGAATTGAAAAGCCCATTTAGGATTTAGCTAATCGTTCAAGCTCATTGGACTGAGAAAAAAATATCTGAACTTTTTTCCTAAAATACTCATTATTCTGAACAATACCAGAATCCTGAAAAAAGCTTAAAGAAGCACAACCAACGAAACTAACACAAATAAGATTCTATTGGTTTCCCAGGAACCAAACGGAACTATGGGGATATTTCGTTTTTAATGTTCTTGCTATCGTTTAAGAAGGAAAGTGAAGACATTACCAAAAATAAACTTGACTTGGAGAAGAACCTTGAGAACCATGTGGATTTGAAAAAGGAATTGCCTTTGTGCTGTTAAGAACTTGCATCAATGCCAAGGTTAGGTTTTTTGTTTTGTTGTGAACAGATTGTTGGGTTATTTCGAGGGGAAAACGAACTCCCTATTTTATTTAGGCCAGAACTTCGGTGTTTTTCCTTGAAAAAAATAGAATAAAACTACAAACTATGGTCACTAAAGTTCTATTTGTTTTATTTTGGTGACTAAAAGTTTCGATAAATAATAAAATGATCACTCGGACAAATTAATAACAATGGTTAATATTAATTTGAATCCTAATTATAATAAACATCAATTTGGTCCTTAACAACATTTTCTAACTCTATTTTTTTAAAAAGAAAAACTTCATCTTCCTCGACAAAAACACATGATTACTTATATAACATATTTACATCAGGAAAAAAGTTATCATCAATTCTAAAGGATAATTCAATTAAATTATATGAGACAAAACTATAATCATACTACACTCTACATACGACACTCAGAGATACTCAAAATATTAAGAAAATTCTACGTTCTACCTTATTCGAAAGCAAATGATCAATCATCCGACTTTGTTCCGTTATCCCATTAAGCTATACGATACGAGAGAGCGTCTCTATGTTAAACATGAGTAACCAAAAGATAGTCCTTAGACTCGCTTTTATTCTATATTTGAACTGCATGACAATCATGCATGTCAAGTTGTCTACTTTCGGATATTGTAATAGACATGAACAGAAGCAAATATCTATGTTGGGGGATGCAAACTTAAAAAGTTATAGTATAAATTTTGAGTGTAAAATTACAAAGTTTTAAGAGGTGAAATTAAATTATTAATAAAAAAATATAAATAAAATATTTAAATTATAGGAGAATTTAAATTTAGACGATACAATCTTGTCCTTCGGCATCTCTCTATCCATCTCTAAAAACAACAGATGTCGGCTCATTCTGGTAGAGTATTAGAGTAATAGGAATTGCAAGCAGTCCAATAGAAAGTTGCTCATTTCAAAATAATATAGCAGTCCTCGCCCACCCAACAGGCAAAAAGAGAACAAGAGAAGTGTTATATATGCACACCTAAAGTCTTCACGTCGAGTGGTTAAAAGAAAAGAAAAACAATTGAATTTCTGTGTTTTTATTAGTCAGTCATTATCATATTGAACCCCATGAGGTTCTAGATCAAATTCAATAAACAATGTGAAAGATCAGAGAATGTTAGAATTTACAGATTAACTTGTCAAAAGAAAGAATCTACAAGAAATAATCAAAACTTATGAAAGAGAGCTATTAAGAAAGGAAATACTGAGAAATTAAGTTTTCCCCCCATAAATATTTTAGAGTTAGAAAATGTCGTTAAAGAGCAAATTTATGCTTTATCTATATTTTAGTGGTTAAATTATATCAAACATTATTATTAACGTCTGAGTGATTATTTTATTATTTATCGATAATATTAGTGATCAAAATAAAAATATTTCAAACTATAGTGACCATATAATATAATTCATCCACAATAACAGCCCACCAACCATTTGCTTTCAGTGAGTTTGTCAAAAAAAAATCTAATTACTTTTAGATGATAATAGTCTACTATTAAAAATTATATAATAATATATTCAATAGTAGATTCAAAAATATTTATGAAGAACAAAATTATTGAACAAGTTGGACATAAATAAAATTTCAGTGTAGATACCATCAGTAAAACAAGTAATTAATCGAAGAAAATTCGGATTGCATGGTGAGCACATGTCCACTCTCACTTAATTGTGTTTTCGCTACTGGATCCATTAATTATAGGATGTTATTTTGTTAAGTTCTTATACTATAAAAGTTATAAAATGATCATTAAACTATTTATATGTTTTAAACTCGCCCTTTTTTATTAGAAAAATTAACTACCATTTGAGCTGGACTTAACCAACTAACTGAGATATGATAAAATTATATTTGAATGACTATGACCACCATTGTTTTTAATCACTGGCTCGACGATATAATGTAAATGGAGAATCGATCCATAAAATATAGCTTAAACAGTTTTGGGATTAAATTTTATCCTATCATAGTCAACAAATTAATGTCAGCTCATGCGGTCGTTAATTTTTTAACGGGAAAGGACTTGGAACATATAAATAATAAGATGACTATTTTATAACTTTGAATAGTTGAGAGACTTAATAAAGCACAGTCTATAATTGGGGTACCAAGTGTACTTTACCCATAATATTAAAAAAAAAACCATTTATCACTTCACAAATCTTTTTCTAGTCTCTACTCTCTGCCCTCCACGGCTCCACCACTACCCGCCTTCGACGATCCCCTTTCATTTCTTTTCCGGACAATTTGGTTGAGATCCGGAAGAACAAGCGCGAAGACAATCTCCTTAAAAAGCGGAGAGAAGGCCTTCTTCAGTCCAGCCTCCCTTGGTCGATACCTCCCAAAATGCCGCTATTGAAAAAAGGGTACCTTTTTTTATTGGTTTTGGGTTTCAAATATTTCGTTCTGATTTTTCTTTTTGAGTTTTTGATTGCTGGTGAAAGTTGAGATCTTGATTCAACTGAGTGTATTGCAGTGTTACTTTTGTCAAGATATTATTGCTGTTATTATTCAATTGGACTTTTTTATTCTATTAAGATCAGAAAGAAATGAATAGGTTCATGGAGATTTGGGTTATTAATTTTTATGCATACTTAAAGTAGGGGAAATAAGAGGTTTGAGGTTATGGATTTAGGATTTAGGATGACACATGACAGTATTCTCATATTCTATGATCTAGCTAGCAGCTTTTCAGAGAAGTATTTGTAGGATTGTTTTCTACCAATAATGATTGGCTGTTCGGTTTTGTTTCTTATAAAATGGATTTAGTTAAGAAAGGGCTTAGCATTTTAGATCTCATCTCTTTCGTCATGCAGGGGATGGAAAAAGGTTAAATGTCATTCATATTCTGTTTTTGAAGTTAGAATATCCAAACTTCAATCCTGTTCAAATGTTCAGAATGTGTAGGGAGGGATTTTGATGTGGTTCTGATCCTTCTGAATTTTAAGCTTTTTATTATTTGGATCCTGAACATGGTATTCCTGATGACTCCTAACAGTTGGAAAGTATTCCTTTGATGGTACAAGGGGTGTGGTCCGATGATCCTGCCACCCAGTTGGAAGCCACAACACAGTTTAGGAAACTGTTGTCGATAGGTTAGTCCTACTTCTATATCCTAATTCCTACACTTAAAGCGGTTTCTTTGTCAAGGAATAGGTCAATTTACATTATTAATTTTCATCTGCTTACTTGTAGAGCGCAGCCCTCCAATTGATGAAGTAATTAAAACTGGAGTTGTTCCTCGGTTTGTTGAGTTTCTCGGAAGGCAGGATTTGCCTCAATTACAAGTACAATGTTTTGTTTCTTTTGTTTAAATTGAAATAATTTGTATAAGAAATACTATTATCACTGAGACTGATCATTATCATTGAGACTAACTTCCATTTTATTTTAGTTTGAGGCTGCCTGGGCTTTGACCAATGTTGCCTCTGGCACATCTGAGCATACACGGGTTGTTATTGAACATGGTGCTGTCCCAATGTTTGTGCAGCTGCTTAGTTCTGCTAGTGATGATGTTAGAGAGCAGGTCAGTTTTTGTTTTAATAACTCATCTATATCTTCTGTATTTGACTGAAGAATGAAAAAAATTCTCTTACTTTCGATGAATGTCTGGTCATTACCGTTTTTAGTTCAACATTTCCTAGATGTACTTTATCTGTCACTTCATATATTTTATATCCTGTCCTATGTTGCTTTGTTTGCTCCCACTTATAGTTTATACTGGAATTAATTTCCACATGCTATATTTACTTGTCTGCTCTTTTTGTCTTTTCTTTGTCAATCATCATTTTATCTGTGTACATTGCCTCTAATTACTATCCTCACCCTATTTTCTGTTTAGGCTGTATGGGCATTAGGTAATGTCGCAGGTGATTCACCAAGTTGTAGAGATCTAGTTCTTGGCATTGGTGCACTTATGCCATTGTTAGCTCAGTTAAATGAGCGATCAAAATTATCAATGCTGAGGAATGCTACATGGACATTATCTAACTTCTGTCGTGGCAAGCCACCAACACCATTTGAGCAGGTTGAGACTTTGGGAGGCTCCTCTTGAATTTTGTATAAGAGCAGTGTTCCCATTTATAGTTTGCTTATTATTGTATTTTGGCACAATACATTTTTATAATTTGTTTGTGGTGTTCTTGATAGCAACCTTGTTTTCTTTTCAGGTGAAGCCTGCTCTACCAATTCTACGGGAACTTATCCACTTGAATGATGAAGAAGTTCTGACAGATGCTTGCTGGGCACTTTCTTATCTTTCAGATGGCCCTAATGACAAAATTCAGTCTGTGATTGAAGCTGGGGTCTGCCCACAACTGGTGGAACTTCTAGGGTAAGCTTTACAAGGTTTATATGTCTATATATTTTCTGTCATTTATACTTGTTGATTTTCCCCCCTATATACTTGTTGCAATATTTTGACTACTGGTTCTGACTAAAGTTCATTTATGACAGTCATCCATCACCCACTGTTCTTATACCTGCTCTTCGGACCATGGGAAACATCGTCACTGGTGATGATAGTCAGACTCAGGTATGAAGTACATTTATGCATGTTCACAGCGGTCTTCACATCAATAGTGTTCTTCTTTGATTCTGGTTTATCTTCTTTTCTGTTGTTTACTGAATGGAGTTTATTTGCTTCATTTGGATTGTTCATGAAGCATAATCTAATTGTAAGGATATAGTAAACAAACTAAATCTTTTAAATAGAAACAGTATTTCAAAGTTCTATTGTTGTTGATTACACAAAGATAAACAATTGTTGTGAAGATTTTTCTCTGTTTTCTTTAAAAGAGGCAAAATAACTCCGGGTATATTTTTCAGTTTGTCATTGACAACAAGGTGCTCCCTCATCTCTATCAACTTCTCGTACAAAATCACAAAAAAAACATCAAGAAAGAAGCTTGTTGGACAATCTCTAATATAACTGCTGGGAATAGAGCTCAAATACAGGTATAGTTTCTCTCTGCCCCTTCTTGAAGATTCTATTGCCTCAATGTATGCAGGAACCAAAAGTTATAATTATTTAATCTGTGCCAATGCGGCTTTTATGTTTACTGATTATTTCGAAGGTGTCAATAGCTTGTCGCAAACTTTAGTTCATAGTAACTGAAGCATTGCTTTGCTTACTTAATCTGTGACTGCAATTAGTACTAGTTCTCGTGTAGTATATATCACTTTAAAGGCACTCACACTGTTGTTGATTATTTGTTTGATTTCCTGTTGCACAGGCAGTTATAGAGGCAAATATTATTCTTCCTCTGGTACACCTTCTCCAACATGCAGAGTTTGATATTAAGAAGGAGGCTGCATGGGCCATCTCAAATGCAACCTCTGGAGGATCTCATGAGCAAATTAAGTATCTCCTACTACTTTTTTGTTTACATTTCAGTTTTTTTCCTTTATTGGATCAGACATCCAAGCATGTTTGCAAAAGACACATCAAACCTCCACCATAGATTCACTGGAGAATATATGCTGATATTTTTTTCCAGATGCAAGATTAGAAGCTAGAACCATGATGCATACATGTATACTTGGATACTGATAGGTCCGGAGCTGTTGGCGTACTGAACTAAATTAAGCTCGTTAACAATTATAAGTGTAGTCGATGTTTTTATTTTTCTCTCGCCTCCAATTGCTTGTCATAAATATGATGAAAATACAATATAATTTTTTGGGGCATGCATTGCATAATAATTGCTCTTAACCATTTCAGTTGATCATATTCACTTGGTACAATGAGAGTTACATGATCTGTTATTCTGCAGATTCCTGGTGAACCAAGGTTGCATTAAGCCCCTATGTGATCTCTTAATTTGTCCAGATCCACGAATTGTGACCGTGTGCCTTGAAGGGCTGGAGAACATCCTGAAGGTTGGTGAGGCTGATAAGGAAATGGGAATGAATGATGGAATCAATCTATTTGCACAAATGATTGATGAATGTGACGGGTTGGATAAAATTGAGAACCTTCAAACTCATGACAACCATGAGATTTATGAGAAGGCTGTGAAGATCTTGGAGAGATACTGGGCTGAAGAAGAGGATGAACAGCATCTCCAAGATGGCGGGGATGAAAACCAGCAAGGCTTTAATTTTGGAGCTAATCAGGCCAGCATTCCACCCGGGGGCTTCAAATTTGGTTGAAGTGTTTAGTTTTGGAATGGCTATAATTTTGTAGGGCTTACTACTTTCCTTGCAGTGAAATTTCTGGACTTGTGTTTGCATTTTCATTGCTGCCAAAGAGTCGGGGTTTTTGTTCTGGTGCATAGACGCATGGTGTTTTGCTTTTTTGGGAGTGGCGCGAATGCTTGAAAGGGTTTTAAATATTATTGTATTTCTATTTTTCTTCCTACATTCCATCTGAAATATTGCATGTGATAGTTATAAAGTCTGAAATTAGCATTAATGCTTTTCTTGCACCACTATAGCATAGGCATTGATGTAGGGCATGTCCTGTTGTAAAACAGAGGTGGTGTCCTTGCCAGGCCAGTTGTAGTAGTATAAAATCTGTTACCATCTTATGGTGCAACGTGATGAAATGTATTGATTCCTATTCAGCCTTTATTTTCGTATTTTATGATTGTTTCCTTGTTTGTCTTTGCCCCATGGCAGCTATTTACCTCGTGTTTGTTAATTGAATATCAGAAAACTTGAGCTCTCGTCTCTTAGTATGAAATGTCCCTTCACAAATGTGCTCACACTGGATTCCTCTTATCACCCTCACTTCTTTCTCTTCCCAAAACTTTGACTCCCCAAGTGTTGCGTGTTCTTCCTCTGTTTCCAGTCCATTAGTAGTATATGTAACTTGTTTAAATTCACAAAGGGGTTTGCTTGTTCTTCAAGTTTTGAGTTTTGTCTTGCATATATGGATATGGTATCTTAAGTTGCTCTGTGCTTCTGATATTAAAAATGATTGTGAGCATAGGGTGTGAGAAACGTCTATTTTGTCCCTGGAATCATCTACTTTGGTTCTGCTGACTGCGAGTGGGGCTTGATACAATGCCCTTCATGCAAGAGCCTTCATTTTACTTTCAACAAAACAAGGATTTTTTTTATAGAACCATCTACAAAACACTTCTTTGTTAATATAAGACTAAAAAAAATACAAATCGTTTACAGCTGAAAATCTTATCAAGGGTCCTAAATCTCCACAATGTAGCTTTCTGATTGCAATTAAAAATATTACAAATTTGCATAACTTTTTGTCGCACAGCATAACTACCCATATTTTAGCATTACCAACAGACTCTTGTCTGTACATCTAATGTTTGGATATTTGGTTTGCTGAGGCGCTGTTCCTTAGGGCGTGGGTTGTGTTTTGTTTTGGGTGGAATTCGTATCTGGTTGAATCGCTTTTTCTGGTACCAAGTACCATTAAACTTTTTATGATTGCAGAGCAATAAAAGAAAAAGAGAAAATAACCTCATGATAAAAAATGTCTTATAATATACGATTTTAATCAAATTTTTTTGGATTTACCAAAATGACCAACAAAATTGCAATGCGATCTCCATAATCCCAAATCAGTTTCCAGATTCGCAACGCGATTTTGACTATCGCATTACGATTTCCCAAATTCGCGTTGCGATTTTCCTAATTCGCAATGCGAATACGTAAATCGCAACGCGATTACGTAAATCGCAACGCGATTATGAAGAATCGCAATGTGAATGCAATGCGATAGTACAAATTCGCATTGCTATTTTCCAGAATCGCAACGCGAATATGAAAATCGCAACGCAAACATATAAATCGCAACGCGATTCTGACTATCGCAACGAGTATCTGTAAAATCGCAACGCGTATCCGTAAATCGCAACGACAATACGTAAAATCGCAACGCGTATCCGTAAATTGCAACGAGAATACGTAAATCGCAACGCGTATGTGTAAATCGCAACGAGAATACGTAAATCGCAATACGTATCCGTAAATCGCAACGACAATACGTAAAATCGCAACGCGTATCCGTAAATCGCAACGCAATTTTTAAAGCGCCATTACAATCGTTACGCGTATTTTATTTTCAAATTCCAAACACGAATATTAATTATCGGAACACTGAACCGTCCACAGTATATCCCGTAATCGCAACTCATAACCTAAAACCTAAAATCACAACTCAGTCCCATCTCCATCTCTCACTCTCTACGGCGAAATCCGTCCCCATCTCCGGCGAAATCCCTCACAACCATTCACGGTCAGAAATCCCTCACAATCATTCAGAAATGGAAAATCAACCTCCGAGGGTTAGTTTTTTTAATTATTTTTATTTTGAAATTTTTGCATTATTTTAGGTTTTTCATATTGAAATTGATGATAAGTTTACTGGTAATTTCAATAATAGATTAACCATTTCACTTAGATTTCTTATTAAATTCATTCGATTGCTGCCAATACTGCTAAATTGTTTAGTCTTTAACCCTGTGAAGTTAGTATTTGTCTTTGTTTTGTCTTTTGGTTGAAGTAATGCAATCCATTAAAGTTTCAATTTGCAGAAGAAGAATAGTTTCTAAACTTAAAATCGCAACATGAAAAATGAAAATCGCAACACGAAAATGACTATCGCAACGAGAGAAATGAAAATCGCAACGAGAGAATCGCAACGCGAAATAAAAATCGCATTGCGATTTTCATTTCGCGTTGCGATTTTCATTTCGCGTTGCGATTCTCTCGTTGCGATTTTCATTTCAACCAAAAGACAAAACAATGTTGCAAATTTTAGTTTCAAGAATAAATTACTACTCTTTATGTTTATTGTTTTTGGTATATCTTCACAGTGTAGTTTTTGGTATATCTAACTTGGTATGTTTATTGTTTTAGTAGAAATTTTTTTCGACTTCATTGACATTAAGGAATAAAGTTAGCCTAGCCACTACAATTGCTTCGAAGCTTTCACATGCACAAAGAAAATTGTTTGAGGAAACCTGCTTCGGGCCATGGCTGAGAGTACAACATCCGGGTGGAGATGCTAATTTGACCCATTTGTGGCTTCAGACCATGACTAGCGATCTACCCGACAGTATACAACGTGGTGAGGAAGAGATATGATTTCATTTTCCACCGGCGTATACTTGTTTTGGGCGGAAGGAGTTCTGCTTAATCACTGGTCTACGATTTGGACACGATGATGTAGGCCGGTACACTCGTCATAGCACCCGCCCATCATGGTTATCTTGGGTTTTTCCTGATGAGTCAATAGAGAAGCCGAACTTACACGTCGACGACCTGAAGAAATTGTTTAATAAGAAAGATGGTTTTACTCGGATGAATGACGTCGATGTTGTCCGAGTATGCCTTCTAGTACTTTTGTATGCCGGCTTTTTAGGCAGAGAGGCCAGACAACCTATTCCTCAGGAGCTAATATTATTGGTAGAGGACCTAAATGCATGGAATCTGTTTCCGTGGGGTTCGTATATATGGAAAACTACCTGAACTAAGTTGTCGTTTGCCTTTGATGACCGCAAAAGTTTGCGTGGCGATGGGTCGAAATACACTTTGTCAGGCTTTGTTTGGGCCTTTAAGGTAAGAATTTCTATATAATGTTTTCAAAATTATAATTAATTATTTAACAATTACTAATGTTTGTTATTATATTGTTTGTAGATTTGGATATTCGAGGCTTTCCCCAGCATTCGGACATATGCATTAAACTTCAAATGATATTCCTAGGGCTATTTCCTGGAAGAGGAAACGTCTGTTGGATTGGGAAGACTTAATACCATATGCGACAATAAATAATGTAAGTTAACACAAATACTATCATATATAAACAAGTTATTAATAGTAGACGTTTAACTTTGTTTGAGTTTTTATATTTTTAGGAGGCCAACACTCCATTACAGAGACTGACACCCACGGAGGCTGAGCTTGCCACTGATTGGTAGCAAGCTAGTCAGCATTTTTTTGATGGCACTAATGATGAGCAGCCTCCACTTTCTCCACTTCGAGAGCCATCACCTCACCCAGAGCCATCACCTGATCGACCCGACTATACACCTCTACAACGAGAGCCATCACCTATCCCGTCACATCATCGAGTCTTTTCTCCACCATCACCTCATGATAGGCGACCGACAAAGATGCCACACTTCTATCTCCCTGTTCTCCACCTCCACCTCCACGGGATGAGTCAAGGGAGTTACATGATGAGGTCAATGCCTTGCGTGAGGAGATCAGTACTCTACGCGATAACGATGGCGCATGGCGTGTGGAGGTGTCTACTTTACGTGGTGAGGTTGTCGCTCTACGTGAGATGGTAGTATCGTTGCTGAATGAGGTTCATACTCTACGCAACGAGGTAAGTTTAAGATTTTCCATATTTAACTTGATGATAAATTTACTCGTAATTTCACTTAGATTAACCATTTCACTTAGATTGCTTAGTAAATTTATTCGGTTGCTGCCAATACTGCTAAACTGTTTATTCTTTAACACTGTGAAGTTAGTATTTGTCTTTTGTTTTGTCTTTTGGTTGAAGTAAATTTATTCAGTTGCTGTCAATTATGCTAAACTGTGTATTCTTTAACACTGTGAAGTTAGTATTTGTCTTTGTTTTGTCTTTTGGTTGAAAGTAAATTTGTTCGGTTGATGCCAATTCTGCTAAACTGTGTATTCTTTAACACTGTGAAGTTAATATTTGTCTTTGTTTTGTCTTTTGGTTGAAAGTAAATTTGTTCGGTTGCTGCCAATTCTGTTAAACTGTGTATTCTTTAATACTCTGAAGTTAGTATTTGTCTTTGTTTTGTCTTTTGGTTGAAGTAATGCAATCCATTCAAGTTTCAATTTGCAGAAGAAGAAATAGTTTACTTTCGCAACACGAAACTTAAAATCGCATTTTGTGAACTATGATAGAATAATGACTTGGGTGAATACAATGCAAGTTTGAAACATATTTGTCTTTGTTTTCACTGTTTAAATATCATGTCTGTTTATTTACTGATTTTTGTATTTAATTATTTAGCGGCCCGATAAGGTGGATGCTTTACGTCGGGT